GATTCCGAAGACAGAAGAGTACGTGAAATATTACAAATCAGACATAAACAATTTAGCTAAATAATTATCAATCAAAAAATAATAATCACTAAGTTGCTAGAATTTTAATTTTTGGTTCAAAATCTTAATTTTCTCCGCACTTAAAAATCGTGTTAATTATTAAAAATAATATTCTCTCGCTCTCACACACACACACACACCCAAATCGGGTATTAATTTTATATTTGAACAAAATATAATCTTTAGAAGATATTACGTATTGAAAAGAATATAAAATAACAATAAGTTTATGTTTTTATTTTATTAATTTAGACCTACAATATATTATTTTTAGCTCCAGAATGCCAGGGATGAGAAAACTAGCATGACATCCTACGAAATACCACCTGCGCCTAAACCTTTCACGGGCAGGTACTCACCAGCATCTGGATATTCCCCATCACCGAGTCTTTCTATCGCGTGTGATCTTGATCTCCGACAAACACAGTCACCATCCAGAGTCAACGATAATGAGTATTACATTGCGTTTCCACCGTCGGGATTACCTGTTCATGGTAAAAAAATTAATAAAATCTATTATAATATTTTCATTCCTATTTATTTCAAGCATCATTTCTAATTATTCTGAGCAGTACAGCAATTGAAAAAGAATATCCAAAAACTTGGACATTATTCAGATATCTCAACAGTATCTTTTAAACATCCTTTAGTTATTAAAGATGCACCTAGTCATTTAAATAACTACATTTACAGAAATAATTAAGATCTCAAAAATAAATAATTTTTAATTCAATTTTCACAGCGTTTAAAACGGACGGTTCTTCGAGAGAACCGAGTACACCAAGTTCACTATGTGAACATCCAGTAAATAATAATCACGACTTCGTCCAGAACGTTACCGTTTCATCGGATAAACATCAGGAAGAAATCGAAGCAACGAAACTTGCTAGCAACAATAGCTACACAAACATCGATCCGGCGGCATTGATTTTTACTCCAATCGTACCGACAGGAATGTGCATCCCAGACTACACTAGCAACGAATTGACGTCCAACGATTCTGTTCACGTGGATCGGGAAGCCGTGGAAGAACACGTTAATGATGCTATCGAGGCATGTTCCAACACGAAAGTGAAACCACCATTCGCTCAATCTGCCGTTGACGAGGTCGATTCTGTGCTTCGAGGTCAAGAGACCACAGAGACAATACGCGATGAGGAACACGTACCGATGGATTCGGCGAACATTTCGAAAAACATGAATGAGGTCACCGAGACTAAAATGCCAGAATATATGAACCTTGCTGTTAATATGAGTCACGATGCTGCCAAGGTTCTCGGCGCCATACCAAAGAAGTTGCCTGCACCACCCGTGCCACCGCGAGGTACAACCTTTCATACCGTATAATTTCACGCGACTTTTATAATTGCGAAGGCAAAACTAATCGATCAAGTCAATAAAAATATATAAAAATATAAAAATGTGAGATTATATAAAGACATTCTTCTGTTTTTGTTGTTATTTCCAAATTTTTCTTATTTCATTCTTTCAACAAAAGAAATCGCAAATTTCAAATAAAATTTGTAATAAAATTTAATAAATAATTATGCATTAACACATTTATTATGAATAAATGAAATTAATTAAGCACTTTTTCTAAACTGATATTTGTATTCAATCTAAGATTAGCATATTTAGATAAGCTTTAAATCTCTTGAAATATGTAAAGTAAATCACTGAACCGTTGCAAATTTCAATGCAGTTCTATAGGAATTATTTCTTGTAAGTCAAACGTCAAGAAAAAAGATTACGGGAATTTTTGATGAGTCGTAAATGAAAAAGATATCAGTGACTCATACGAATGTAACTGCGAGAGAAAAGTCCTTATTTAGTGACTTTATCCTCAAAGCATTTGGAAAACTACAGAGTTATTTATATCACACATTGACGTATAGACTAATCAAATTTGTTAGAATATGAATTCTATCAATTTTCTTAGTGCTTTAATATACAATGCATAATTTTGTGATTTTGAAAAATAACGAATAAAAAAATTATACATTTCAATTACGATGTATACATGTAATAATCTCGATGAAAAATATTATAATTAAAATAGAGAATATATATCAAAAATAAGTATAATTACATATGTACTCAAGTTTTTTTCATAATTATAGAGTATTTTATATCAAATCCGTTTTCAATGAATTTTTACAACCTATTGTAATTGCAACTGAAATATAAAAATCAGAAACTGAAACGTACGTATATAAATATTTGTTGATAAGTTTTCATGAACATTATATATCTTTTATGCTCAAAAAAACACAACAATATATATATAATATTTTATTATTACTGGTCATGATTTTTTAGGCATAAAAGACATGATGTATAATGTTCATAAAAATTTATCAACAAATATTTATGTACGTACGTTTCAATTTCTGATTTTTATTTCTCAGTTGCAATTACAATAGGTAGTAAAATTCATCAAAAACGGATTTGATATAAAATAATCTACAATTATAAAAAAAACTTGAGTATTTATTTAACCAACAAAATTTATAAGTGTCTTATAATGCTTGTTATAATATGCGGCATAATATATGTATGTATCTACACAGAAAGAACATTTAAATCTAAAAATTTAACTAAATACAGATCCGAAAATAATTTTATTGGGTTATCAAAATAATTATATAGAACACTTAAGAATTGATGATGCTGCAAAAAAGTTCAACATTCTGAGCAATCAGTTTGAACATCCTATATAATTTTGATGGTTAAATTATTTAGAAGCGTTGGTTTGTATAAGCTAAATTTTTAAATACTTCAGCGCAAAATTGTTCTTTTCGTGTATAAAAGTATAATCATGTTAAGAGCGAGACAATGGTTATCGCCATTACCGTTGATCAATCTTATTTTTATTATATATACAACGAGAATTTAGATTCTTAAAAACATATCCACCCGTCCGATATTGATCATGCAAGCTAGTAATGTTAATTCGATTACTCCCTTCGCAAAGATTAAAGTATATATCAAAGTTAATTATATAATACGTCCATTAATTTCGAGATACGTGATTCAAACTGAGATCGTAAACTGTATAATAAAACGAGCATTCTTGAATCCTATGTACAAGGAACATAATAAATATAAGAAAGATGAGGTAATCAGGGACGTAAACGAAATTTAATACAAAGGAATCAATCATTAATATATAAAAGAGAGAGCAGAGAATACAGACGAGCATAAAAATTTATGATATGCTTCTTTATTTATTATTACGTATTGTATATACGGTATGATATATACGATCTGTACGTATAAATCGACAACGTGTCACGCTTGTCTTACTACTCGTTTGCATAACAATAGTAGAATGCTAAGTTATAAACGTTTGCAGATTACAGATGTATCTTTATACTCCCTGGTTTACTTCTCTCTGATTATGTCCGTACAAATATGGAATTCAAATTTCAAAAATATCGTACTATTTGTGTGTAGCACAAGAACGATATTATAGATAGATAATTAATTAACAGTAATTAGAATTAAATCGATTACATACTCTTTATTGTCTCGACTTCTCAGGTACAGAGAAGCTTGAGTATCAAGAATGCATTTATCATTAATTTTTAAGACTAGTGTGTAACCATAAAGATATTTGATACTGTATGTATTTTTTATTACACCCGCCGAATGTTTTATTTTATATTTATGTATGTGTACTAGTAAAAAATATAAGAACATTCTGAAACCCAGTTTTTATCCATTCACACATGCAACAATAATAAATACGAGGCTGGAATGACGACACTTGTTAATACAAGTTTTTCTGTTTATGCGTAATATATATTTGGTTAATAGATATTGTTAAAAAGCTCACGTTAAAATATATCATTATAGTTAAAATATGCGCTGTAGTGATCATTACGAATAATCTGATTAGAAAATCAATAATCACTCAATCAAAAATTATTGGGGAATGATTATTCTAAATAATCTGATTAGGGAATCAATAATCACTCCGTCAAAAACTATTGGGAAATGATTATTGCAAATAATCCGACTGGAATCAATAATCACTCCGTCAGAAACTATTGGGGAATGATCATTGTCAGCAATCCGATTATTGGATAATAAATAATTACTATTAAAGAGCGAATAATCACTATTAAAATTCAATAATGATTATTGATATTCCAATATTTCATTTCTGTAAAGGGAATACATGTTTGTCCATATAGTAAAACATATTACGTTTGAAAATATAATCGCACTAATTACCGCGTATTAAAGCTCTCAATTGTCCGTGTTTTAATTGTTATCAGTTTAATATCTCGAAAGCTCAACTTGTATTTTTATTTTTCTTTTATTTATACGCTTCATTTAAGTGTATTCATGTCTATTAATACCTCGATATTTTTATCAAAAAAAGAAAAAAGGATTCGTTTTATTTAACTTTAAATTAAAAACAACATGTTCTAACATTTTGTATAATAATAAATTGAAACAAAAGTAACTTAAAATAGTATCCTTTATCATAAAGGAAATCTCATCATGAAGGAAACGGTTTTATACCAAAACCGCGTCCTTCCGTTCAATTGAATTGGGACCCTCATTAATTAGAGCTTTAATTACATTTGCGGTTATGGTTCACCACCGACGCTTTGCGATTATAGTAGTCGCATTCAAAGGCGTAACTATACGCATATTACGAAGAAATAATAATTTCTAAAACAGAAGCAGTTCTACAGCATATAATCACAAGAAATATTAAATGTAAAAATGCATCTAATTTAAAAAAAAAACCATATCGGAAAAAAAATAGAAAGTAAAAATGTTCAAAAATAAATAATACTTGTTTTAAATTATGGTAATTAATAGAATACGTATATATAGCGTTATAAAGTTGCGAGCAGGAATAAGTGGTGAGATGTTTAATGTTCGTTGTGGAAGGGGAAAGATGAAGCTGACGACAACGAGCATATATAGCAGAGATACCATTCTATTGAGTGGCAAAAACGTGAAAGCATTGATCACCTTTGCTACCAGTTATATTCCTCGAGTATAAAAGTACGACATAAACGAATTGCATACATACTTCAAGTGTACGTTTTATGTGAAGAGCGTGGTTTCTTCCGTCCATACTTCTATATTCATTCTTGTACGAACAGTGTATTACGCATTATCATAAAACAGTGAAACGTGAATGTCGAAGATCAGATGAATAAAAGAAGATAAACCAGTATAAGCGATCTCTTAGTGTTGCGTTGTATATAACATCCAAACTTGTCTATGAACGTGAATTATTTAATATTCTTTTCTTCTATTTTCCCATAAATTAATATAAGGAATACATAAAGAAAAAAGGGTAATGAATATTTTGCTAATAAAATTAATTATTCTACATTGGTTGAAGTATAAAGACTAAAAAGAGAAACATTACAAAGACACTATTCTGAAAAATGCATTTAAAATATTTATTTCATCTTGGAGAAAAAATAAAGCATATATATACACAATTCAATTTATTGCTAATTGTAGCTTCCGAGAATATTACAAGATAAAAAATTTTTAATGCATTTTTTTCAAAATAAGCTTTTGTTTACATTCCCTTTTCTCTCTCTATTATACTTTCAAATTTCAACTAAAATTTTATAACTTTATACAAGTTTACTACTTAACATCCATAGATAAAATTATCGAACTTTTCAACTTGCTCTTATTCCAATAAAAAACGAAATATTTGTCATGCATAGCTCCTATCGCAAGATCACAAGTGCTATAGTGTCTGGCAAAAAAATGAGGTTGCTAATCGTATCTCTAGTCTTTGTGGCGATGATCACTATTGCGAAAACACAAAACGAATACGCGACCAAACCAGGTTCGTGTCCACCTGCCTTACCTGTGCAGTTCTGCGGACGATCCTGCTACATTGACGCACATTGCGCGGGAATCGGCAAATGTTGTCAGACTCGATGTGGAGGCTCCATTTGCTCCATGCCCGTCACGATGACGCGATCCCAAACAGGTAATTTCTTCAATACATTATGTCTGATTTATTAATCTGAGACAGAAACATTGATCCGACATTTTTAAACAATTATTATTATTTTACTACAAAATTTAATATTGCACTAATTGTAAACTTTATAATAAAACAAAATTTATATAATTTTATCAATATATTTTTAAGAAATATTTGGCTCTAATTTTTTTTTTTTTTTCCATTTCTATTGCAACTTATAAAGAAAAAACTTTTGGAGAGGAAATTATTTTATTCTCCTGAACAGTTATAATTTTGGTAATTTTTTGTTGTCATAATTATTGTGTTGTGTATTATAACTAGAATATTGTAACAATATTTATAGATAAGCGCAATAAATTAATCATAAAGTTTACAAGTTTATAATTGAAAAATTAAATAATCTGTTGAGCAGAGAAACCAGGATCTTGCCCATCGGTACCGACAGGAAGATGGGTATGCACATCGACTTGTAATGGCGACAACGATTGCAAAGGGACATTAAAATGTTGCAAAAATAGATGTGGAGCCCTAGCCTGTCAAAAACCAGAAATACAAGTACCCGAATTCGTCGAAAATCCAGTTGGACCGATTGTTCCGCGCTTCGGAAATGATTATATTGATTACTATCCCTAATCTCGATTTTTATGTGCCTATTACATTTATATAATAATTAACAAATCTAGCACTGATTTCATAACGATTATCTCATTAAATAATAAAATAATTTTTAGTATTAATTTTATTTCTTACTAAAACTTAACGTGTTTACAATTTTATATATATTTTATTAATAATTAATTTTTATACAAACAATCTATCAATAATCTTCTTGTCTGCAATTTGATACAATAACGCGATAAAGACGCATATTTAATAATATAATTGCGTCATTGCTGCAATTATATTTTTGTCATCTAAAATTTAAGTTAGCAAAAATTATTAAATTATCATATACACAATTAAGAAAATAATTTGTATTTTTATTTTTTAATTTATATCTATCGCATTTCCAGATAAATTTATTAAACATTAACAAAATAAAATAATAAAATTTATGTAATTAAAATTACTAAAAGGAATCTAGTTATACATCTCAGAGGGTTATTTAATAAATCTTTACTAATCGATAATTCTAATAAACAGTTTGATATAAAGAAAGGCCAAGGTTATGCAAGAAGTAATATAAAAAAAACGCACTTATTACGAGACACAGATATTATATATTATTATGATTCAGACTCGTAAAATATCACCTCAGTATATAAATGTATGTCGATATAACGCATTTAATTATACTTAACCTTTATTTTTAATATATTATATTTTAAGTAAATATTTTAGTAGCTAATTTGATAAACAAAGCGAACTGCAAATCTATATCAACTCTATGTAATTACCACATAATTATAGCTTTGCTTTATTTGACTAATCGATTCGAAATTCGAGGCAATAAACAAAGATTGAACAACTATAAGTATTAAATTAGAATACATTAAACAGCTATTTATGAAGCACGAAAATTCTAAATAACGAGAAGATAAGATTTATGAAGCATGAAAATTCTAAATAACAAGAAGATAAAATTTATGAAGACGATTCTATAATTATACTTTCAATCAGTAACTAAAAATAATTCGTGATTACTATAAAGATATCATCATGTATCTTATCTAAAAAAAGATATCAGAATTTTTTCTAAATTCAAATTATTCTTTAAAAATATAGAAACAAATTATAACTATATAAATGTCAATTAAGTAAGTACTTCTAGCTAAATTAAAATAAATCAAAATAAATGTAAATTATAAGTTATGGACCTTCGGCACAACCTTCAACAGTAATCAATGTTACCGCTCGATTTTAAAAAGAACGCATACGTTTTGTTGTTATTACAACGTTAATAGTTGAAACTGTAATGCTAATTATGTGATTAAGACGCTTAGCGGTGCATAATATCATCACGATGTAACATGTGAAGAAAGAGAAAAAAAGCGCTCGAGTTCAAGTAAACGGTATCGTGAAGACTTTCATGAATCCACGCTATAGCGAGTTACTAAGACAAATAATGATTTATTCGTTATATATACTCTTCTTTCGTCACATACTCGATCAATATCAGAGAGGTGGAAAGCGTTATAAAAGCTGATGTTATTATCATTGTGCGTCTAGAAGTCTCATCAGAACCACACCGCGGAGTTTTAATCAAATATCTAAGAAACCAACGACTCGTAAAATGAATCGTGAGTATTTAAACTGTGCAACCTTGGAAGTTACAGATGCTACGCACTTCTGAGAAAGTAATACACTACTTCCATGTAATATCATTAACATAAGTCAAAATCATAATACGCTTTAAAGTGCTTAGCAATTCGTTGAACAAAAGCACTAGGTTAATTCTATTAAATAAATTATATAAATATATAATTAAACTCTTATTGGAGGAAGAATGTGTATTTAAATAATTAATTTAATATTCAACGCGTCATCGAAATAATTAATATTAAACAATTATATGTTATGTGATAATACGATTAATTTCTGTGAATGACACGTACCTATATGGTCTCTCTTTTAAGGTTGCTCATATAAATTGGTTTATAATCTTACATTCTCTGAAATTAACATAGAGTTTGTATAATATTTACTTTCCAGGAAGCTTATTACTGTTCGCGGTACTGCTAATTTTTCTGATCACCGACACATCCTCTCAGATGTTTTGTAAGTAAACACTAATCATTTACGCACAGAAAACTAAGAGAAAACGTACGCAATTGTATTTTGGTGTAGCTTTCATGTAATGGGAATACCTATTCTATTTTCAGTTCATGCTCTTTCTCTCGCTCTCTTTCTCTTATTCTGATTTAATTGCAGAATTATATCAAAAGTGAAATGAATGCATCATTTTTTAGATACTTATGTCTTGTCAGAAAGTAAAAATTCTAAAGTAGAATCCATTTCTTCTCTCACAAATTGAATATAACCGTTTACCTCTTAACATTTTTTTTATTTTTAACAACTTATAATATAAAAATTATTAGCATCTTAAATTTTTTGCCAATAATAATCAATTCCAAACTTTTTATAAGAAAGAATATATCTACACTTTTTCAATTCTAGATGATATACGTAGAAATTTCATAGTTTAGATTTAGATTTAATTTTGTAAGATGTATATCTGCACACATAGGAAAAGAGAATGACGAATGCGATTGATACCTAAACTACGTAATATTCAATTATAGTATTCCCGCGAATGTGCACGTCAGCGAAATAAACGTGTCAATTGTGACTCTACAACTCACGGTTAACTTGCAGAGCGATACTGTCATTTAATCAAAACGTCAAAACGTTCAATATAAAGAAAGACAAGGCAATTATTTCTTAATAATGTGTTAAAAAAATAATGACGATGCAATAAACGATTACTGTTTATAATACTAATATTTTAAGATGCTAATTACTAATAGTATTGACAAATCACAACCGCGAGAATCGTAAAGACTAAATAAAACAAACGCCCTACAAATTAATCCAAAGAAAATCAAGGAGTAGCTCTCCTGTTTGTTATAAACATCAATCATTTTGTAGACAAAAGTGGTAACTGTCCGATGAGGAATACCGTGACCAATTGCACTCCCAGGTGTATAGGAGATGGACAGTGTCCGTATAATCAGAAATGCTGTCCAAACAAATGCGGCCACACGTCATGTGCCGACACAAGCCCAGTTAATACCGGCAGCGATGGCGGATACAAAGGCTCAAGCAGTATGTACATATGAAAACGTATATGTTCTGTATTTTTATAAAAGATAAAATTAATCCTTTGCGGTCCTTCGCGTCGAGCTGAACTCGACATACTTCGCGGTAACTCATCGCAATTGAAATCGGTAAACTATATTTTTGACGTTTTTAGAATCTCTATAAATTCCTCCAGACAATAAAAATTTCTCATGAATCATGTTAGATTCACCAATTAGGTGAAATCGAAGACAAAATATTTAATCTTCGCTCATTTGTTAAAGAGAAATTCAATCGCAAAGGATTAAAGTAGATTTATATACAAATGTATTTAAAAAGAAGAAATATGAATCTTGCAATCTTATTTCTCAAGTGGCTTGAACTATCGGGACATTCCGTTACTTATTTTTATAGATCAGGATGTTTACTGCAATGGAGTGAAGTGCGCCGCATACGAAAAGTGCCAATATGACCGCAACACCAGGCGTGACAAGTGCACGCGTGTCTAGATCCACGAATTCTCGATCATTGTTACTATATGGCAAACGGGTATCTGATGAAACTTGATTTATAAATTACAGAAAAAAAAACAGACTAGTTTCTTTCTGAAAAAAATGCAAAATCGGCATTTCTTCCTAATTTTCTTATAACACGCATTTATTTAATAAGATTCTTTTATTTTTATGGGCAAATATCACGATTAACACATGCATTTATAAATAAACCTATAAAATAAATTTGAGATTTTCTGGATAATAAAAATTACGAAATTATATAATATACATATTATTACCTTCTATAAATATTTTTCTGTATTTAGAATTAATTCAGAATTTAATTGTAAAATGCACGGAGTAAAAAGGAGATCAAACTCAATAAGCGGCCGGTCCCGAAAAAAATGGGCTCGAAACACGGTGTGGGAAAAGCACTTTTCAGAAGACAAATTCGAGCGCTCCTATCGGAGAAAACTCAACTTATGCCCGTTTCCACTAATGTAGATTAACTTTAATCTCGGTTCAACTTACTCTTCGTCTTTTTCTAATCTTTAGAATTCTAAGGATTAGAAAAAGACGAAGAGTAAGTTGAACCAAGATTAAAGTTAATATACGTTGGTGGAAATGGGCATTAGAGAATTTGATAAATATTTTTCCTCCCATTTTTTTGTAATTCTGTAAATTTATGTATTTTTATGCGTACAATATTCTGAGAAGGAAAGTTGTCTTATTGCATTGTGTGCACCAGTTCAGAGAGTGCAGTAATAAAAAACAGACTTTATATATTCTTTTAAATCCGAGAGAGAGAGAGAGAGAGAGAGAGAGAGAGAGAGAGAGAGTCTAATTGAATGATTTGGAAAAATACATTACATTCAACTTTTAGGTTCGCTAAACGCATTCACACACAATATTTTAAAGTAATTATATATATTCTCTAAAATAATTATATATTTTTTAAAAATCTTAACAAAAATAAATTTGTATAAAAGTTTAAAGTAATTTTTAAGTAACTTTCCTTTATCTAACTTAGATATAAAAGGAAAGTTACTTAAAATTTAGATAAAATAATTATACATATTCTCTAAAAAAGATCTTAGCAAAAATAAATTTGTATAAAATTTTAAAGTA